GAATGTAGTTGTTTTTGGATTATGTGTTATTACTGACACCTGGGAGTTGATGAATGTTCATTTTGTTTTCTGATTTGGAAAGTTTATACTCTAACTGATTGTTTGTGAGTTACTATTTGGGTTCGGATTAATTGTCACGTTGATGGTGTAATTCAAACTAGTAATGTGATAACTAAATTTGGAACGGTGGTAGTATTATGAAATTGATTGTAATGCATCTTAAGACTTAAGCTGCTATTGGGTTGATGAAGTGACTATAAGCAGAGAGGGAAATCAACAGATCTCATAACTCAATTGTAGACAACCTTAACAGGATAGCAAACACCTAATATAATATATCGTCTGACTACAGACTGTGGGGGCTGAAACCCAACCTATAGTTGCTGTTTCTATTGTCTAAATACACAAATTTTGATGAAGTCATAATTAGATACTATTCTCAGACATTCCTAAATTCCAGCTCACAAAACTTATAAGTATGCTGTTAAAATTTCATTTACTGGCATTGAAGGCACCACAGTAACAAAGTCAGAAATAGCAGATCAGAAAGAGAAGTTGACCACCATGGCTAACTAAATTGGCCGATGAATAGTCAGTGATAAGGTATAGGAACTAGGAAAAGCTTTCTTAGAAGCCCATTTCTAGGCTTGACACCATATGCCTTGTCTCAATTTTCAATTTATGTATCTTGATACATAAAGTGTGTTAAGGGATGAGGATTCATCTTAAATGCCTTTATTATTGTTGGTGCATATCATGAGAGTGTATATTGGCCAAAATGTAATAAGGCAGAGTAATAACTAACTGTTATCTCTTGGTACCTCTGGTGTTTATCATCCATAAGAGATTAAAGTCAATGGTAATATTAGGGTAAGACAGTTTGGAAGCTTCAATAGAAAACCAGTTGTTGCCTTTTGGATACATGTCTTCTAGAAATAGGTGATCTAAGTGAAGAGATGAGTGGTCCATTTCTAGACTTGCTGGGGTTAGGGAGGAGTGCATGAAGATACACTTGCAGAAAGGAAAAAAATGTTCAACTGGAATTGTTTGTTTGTAATGTAGACTTTCCATTAATGGATTTCAATTGCATTTATGTCTATTATGTTAATACACCAGAAACTATTCACAACTGGTTAGAAATGGCTTAAGAAACCTGGACCAACCCCCAACCACACCCCACCCCCCCCCCCCCCCCCCAAAACCCAATGGGAATCCTTTCTCAAGCTCAGTTCGTGTTTCATATATCATGTTCATGTACTGTAGTTTATGTACATCGCTTCTAATTTTTATGTTTTAAAATCATGTAAATTTGAATTTTCTTGCTTATCTTGATGGGTGCTTCTTTTCAGAAAGACGAGGCCGTGTGGCAGTTGTTGTGAAAGCAACAAGTGACAGTTCTGATTCTTCAACGTCTTTGAATGTTGTCGAATCAGTTCAGAATCTTGTGAGCATCCTCTTGCACCCTCCCTACCTTCTGTTTTGCGTCCACTTTGATGGTCATGTAGTATTTACCTTCTCAAGAGATACCTTCCTAAAATAATGCGAGTAGAATTGAAACTTCAAAGTTAAAAATTGCTTTTGTGTTGGTCGGCTGGTCCATCTAGCACAATTAACTAGTTATAATCAATACCAAATTTCTAACTTCTTCTCCCTTTATTTTTGGCATTCAAATGTGTAACTTTTTGGACTATTGTTGATGCAGTGGGATAGCCCTGAAGATCGAATTGCTGTTATTGGTTTGGGGTTGACAGCCGTTATTGCATTTTGGGCCTCACTAAATGTCATTGCGGTAAGTGCTATGGACTTTTTATTTTGCATTATGTGAGCTTAAAGCATGGTAGTGCGTGGGTATATTTAAGAACTATACTTAAGGATTGTACTGAGAAGATCTGTATACTCTATATTGTACTTGCTCTCTTTTATTTTGCTCTGACTAGGACTTTACCATTCTGACAATACCTTAAATTAGTTAATGCTCTGATAATCTATCTGTTGGTTTTTGACAAACAATTCCCAATTATGGGCAACAGGGGAAATTTTTTGAAAAATAGAAGTATTGTAAACAGAACCTCTGGAGATGTCCATAGATAGTATAGATTTTTTTCCAACAAAACATGAAGGGGGAAGTATAGAGAAGCCCGGAGATTATTTTACCATTGTAATTTGATTGATATTTTCTTACATAAGCTAACATTTTGTAATGAACTAGCTTAAGGGAAAGGGGTAGTGCAGGCAATGCAATACTTAATCAGTTATAATAAGCTTTTAGGAAAAGCTAGTCTGGTATTTAGATATAAGAAGACTATATAAAGAGAAGACGATGGAAGAAAGACCATGATGAACAAGCCTCTCAAAACCTTATATCAACTGTTATTTCCAGTTTTTATTGCAAATTTTCATCTTCTTCTTTCTTTCAAATTGTGATAGTTAAGACATAAGTAGGCTATATAAAGTGAAGACTAATGAGAGAAAAACCATGATGAACAAGCCTCTTGAAAGCTTGTATTACCTGTTATTTCCAGATTTAAATGCAAATTTTCATCTTCTTTCTTTCAATTTCTGCACAAATTTTCAGTTAATAAAACATCTATCTTGTATTATTCTGTTATAGAATGCCATAAGTCGGCAGTATTTAAAGTGGGAAGATAAGGATTAGTGGAACAAGAAGATAATCGTGATTAATTTTTGGGTAGCAGCAATAATAAAAGATTATACAAGCTTTTGACAAGCTTTCTCTCTTCAAAATTGTAAAACAAGCTAAAGAAAACATTCAATAATGTTCATCATGAATACTGTTGATAAATCAGGCATTACATTGGTCAAGCTCTCAAAGTGTTGCATTCATGATACTGACTTGGATGTTAAAAGCTGTTTCTTTCAAAAAGCTAAGCATCTTACTGGAAACCTTTCATTTGCTTGGATGAAATTTGCTCACAATGATTTTAGGGTCTCCTTCTGGCTATAATGCATATTGTGGTTATCTTGGAGATGACGAGAAAGAGAGAGGAAGAAGGAATGGTAATGAGGGAGAGATAATGGAGAGGTATGGAGAGGGGAGAAGAAGGCGTAGCTTGGGATGAATCAGAACCGTGAAAGACAGATGTAGAATGAGGAGGGAAATGGGATTTTTTTTTTTTTTTTTTTCTAATTTTATTTAATGGCATTAGTATTACTTTGTGTATTGGCAAAATACAATAACCTCTATTACCATACGTGATTACTGGGTTTATTTGAGAATATTCTAAATCTCATTGTCATCATGGAGACATGGAAAATTGTCCTAAATTTTATGGATGTTGATTGTTTTTGAGTTATATAACTTTTGTACAATTTGGTCATATTTATCTAGTCTTGCTCAACACTTCTTGGAATCTGGGTTTTTGATTCGTTTTTGCAATTCTCTCACTTTCTTGGCATTCATGTCATTTTGTAACTGTTCTGTAGTTGTGAACTTGTGATTTGCAATTCTATATAGATAACCAGTCATCTTTTTGGCTTTGAATTATGGCTAAGAAGATTTTCGGATTTCCCTTCTTTTGACTCTGTTATATCTGTTTTATGAACAGGCAGTCGACAAGCTTCCTTTGATTCCAGGTTTCTTGGAATTTGTTGGGATATTGTTCTCTTCGGTAAGTATATCCTACTATGCTTGCTTAAAACTTGCAAGTGTTGGCAATGACTACTCTGTAATATTTATATCAATCTGTTATCTAACTTCAACCTTCTATCTGGTGATTGATTAATCTTTATGAGACTCATATTGGTGGTAGCTAGACTGCTAAGCTGTTGTGTCAGGACTGAATGATATCACAGAAACTAGAAGCCCTGGGAGGGGGGGGGGTGTCAGGAGAGGAAATGTGGACATTGGACCTTAAATTATGATTCTGGTTTCTTATTTTAACAGTCATGAGCTCATGACTACTTGTTACTATTCATATGTTTGCTTAACCAAAAGACTTTCAAAACAGAAGGCAAAGCTTCCCCTTCAATGCTTTATTGTTGGATGAATTTTGCTGTTAGGTGAGATACATCAGTTCTCATTTGCGCAAGTAATTAAAAGAAGTTGGTGGCTGAGTTTGTAGGTCTATAGAATCATATACTTATGTGATTTGAGAAGCTGGGTAGATTTGTTTGTCCTCCCACAGTAAAATCTCTAAAACTTTCTTTACATTGAATGTTGTTCTAAATGATGGCCAATCCTTCTAATCACATCCTTTTCGTTAAGAGACGTGAACTATACATAAGGTAATTGGATAAAGGCCATGTATAGCAGCAACCCGTATGTTGTTTCACACTTCATTTTCATGCTTAAAAGTTGAAACCTCAATAATTTACCTGACCTTCTAGTCTTATGATGAAGAGACTCTCCTGATTAGTCATCATGTATTTACTAAAAACCTCTGACCTTATTCTTCTTCTTGTTTAATGTTAGTTTGATCCAAATTGGTTTCCGATATATAACTTCATATGTAATATTTTTTTTGTTTCCAGTGGTTTATTTATCGGTATCTCTTGTTCAAGCCTGACAGGTGAGTAAAAGTTTCTCTTCATCCTTTCTTTATCTATTGCCTGATTTCTTTTCATCAAGTCTGTCTAATTTTGAAATTTTATTGGGGGCCTTGCGTTATCATAGAGAGGAGCTGTTTAGGAACATCAACAAGTCGGTATCAAACATCTTGGGCCAGTGAACGACACCATCATCTGTTGATTAGGTATTGATGCGTTTGTCTCGGTTTTTGCTGGATGATACATCAGCTCTGGGAATCGAACGACCAAAATTAAACCCTTTATTTGTATAGCATATTTTACTTAGTGACATGATATCATGTTATAGCATAGTAGTACTTGCCTAAGTTTCTTCTTTGTAACCTGCATCTTCAATCAAAAAGTACTAAATTATCCCCCTTAAATTACAGTATAATCAAAGCATGATGAATTTCCTTGCACCCAAAAAAAAAAAAAAAAAAACAAACATGATGAATTTCTACTAGACGGGCTTTGTAGGAGCCATGGTCCAGTTTGGGGTTCTAGATTAACGAAACAATCATAAGTACAAAATCTTTTGGGTACACCGTACACCCGATAAATGGTACTCTTATTAAACAATGTTCAATTGTAATATACGAACTAATTTTTAACTAATTTTGGGTAACCTATAACCTGGTTTGGGTTACTATAATCGATTAAAAAAAATTATTACGAAGGATGAATTACAGAGTATTTATATTTTTAAGAAATGAACTTTATAAAAAGGGGTAGGATTGCAATTATGCAGTATGAATGTATGATTGATTTTTACAGGGTAATTTCTTGTGAAGAGTAATTTATATCTACAAAAAATAAGTAACTTATAATACGGAGTATTAATTTTATAAATTTTTTTTGACACAAATTAATTTTATAGATAGATTTGCAAATAACAATCATAAAAAAATATCTGCACTTAGGGCACATCTGTTTGGATATTTTTAAACAATGTAATATACTTTTATGATTATATATCGATATGATAATAATTTCTTTATCTTCATTTTATTATTATTTTTGAACTGATGTAAAAAAAAAAAAAAAAAAAAAAAAAAAAGAGTATGTCTTGAAAAAAGGTCTAAAAGGGTACCATATCCAATCCATATTAGGTTAAGTATCAAATGTTACTTAATATGCAAGATACAAGTAACCACAACTAATGCAAATTCTATATACTCCACAAATTATTGCGATCGATTTGTTTTTCCTTAAACAGAAATTAAACCTTCGTTATTCTCTACAAAATAGTGCCCTTTATTAGTTTTTCCAGATACAAGCAATTCAACAACCTTGCTTGATTATTTTTCAACAACAATAATGGAGTCAACAGCTTCCAATTCTTCTCCTTCATACTCCCCATATTCAAGATTCTCATCGTACTCAACGGTGTCACCCGAGTACACCCCGTCGTCTCCTGTATACACACCGGAGTCACCTGAATACACCCCGTCGTCTCCTGAATACACACGAAAGTCACCCGAATACACCCCGTCATCTCCTGAATACACACCAAAGTCACCCGAATACACCCCGTCGTCTCCTGAATACACACCAAAGTCACCCGAATATACCCCATCGTCTCCTAAATACACTCTCAACACAACCAAATTCACACCATCATCTCCTGGATATACACCTAAGTCACCCGAATACACTCCGTCATCACCTGAATACACACCAAAGTCACCCGAATACACTCCATCCTCCCCTGAATACACACCAAAGTCACCTGAATACACCCCGTCGTCTCCTAATTATTCGTCCAAGATACCCGAGTATACACCATCATGGGTATCTTCTCTTGAGTATTCACCTAAATCACCCGAGTACACCCCGTCATCTCCTGAATACACACCAAAGTCATCCGAATATACCCCGTCATCTCCTGTTTACACGCTGATATCTCCTGAATATACTCCATCTTCACCAGTTTGTTCGCGGTGTAAGAGACGAGGAGACCCACCTTTTTGGTGTAGATCAAGAAGAGAAAAACAAGCAAGGTACCTTTGATTTTTATGGAAGTTTAGTGTTAATAATTGATTAGATATTGTTACTGTAAAAGCAATAATGTTGGTAGAAATTTCTGTATCTTGATATATTATTATGAGTTATAAAGTTTCGTTTGACATTCATTTTAATGTTGACCGGAAATATTGAACAATGTTGCTTAGCTTTTTTGTTACTTTGTTCGTTAATTCCAAGACAAATTCTATCTTTTACATTCTTATTAGCTTGTTTATGAATTCAGATTGTTTGTAAAAAAAAAAAATATATACAAGCGTATATTATGTACTTAGATTGAGGTTGATTTTTGAAACTCAAGCTTTGAATTTCGTTGCAAGAACAATTCAAGTAGACACCTTGAGCTCCCTGTGGGCACGTATGTCGATACAGATTTTTGATTAGTAATATCTTTAATTATCAACTAGTATGTACCCCGGGCGATGTCTCGGGTTCCCTCCACAAATACTTGTCTATCCTTATGTTTTAAAAAATCCTTAATTGGCTACTTATAAAATAATTATTAAGTAATAAATATTTTCTCAAAGGCATTATCACTAATGTCTAAATCTATTCGCGTTTGAAACATTTGTTGTTTTAAATGTTTATAATCGGATGAGTAATTTATTTACGGTTACATTGCCATTTAATAATTTGAGTACTCCTAGAATTTATTTAAAACTGTACTCTCAGTTCGAAAGTAAGTCTTCGACTTCCGGAGTTTTAGATTTTCTACTCATGAGTTAATAATCACTTGACAATCATACTTGTAATATAAAAAATTATAGTACTATCGCTCATAAAGTTGTGGGTTATAATTTTTATTGTATACATAAATGGAATTATTTTGAAGTACTTTTTATCACGAATATTATGATATAAAAATAGTAAATTATTAAAATAATAACTATTGAAATTTATAATTTATTTTTTATAATAGGGTTATAATTTAATTTGTACATATTAAATATTGGTATTTTATCAAAAATAAAACTCTAAATAGCAATTTTATCCTAAAAATCTACCCAAATTTTATTGAAAATAAAACTCTAAACTAACTTTTTTATCTTATAAAATCTATCCAACATGTGTCATACTAATAATTAATTGTTGCCTAAATGGCGTGACACTTCCCCGTGCGATGCCTGGGTTGTTTATTGAATTTTAAAATAAAACTTTTTATCTAATATATATACTAGTATGTTATTTGAATTTTCTACTCATGGATCAATAACCACTTGACAATCATACTTGTCTGTTTATGGGTATTTTATGGATTAATTATCACTTGACAATCTAAAAAAAATTAGAAGTAATAATGTACAACTAAAAAGAACGGTTGTCTAAAACTGTAATCTCCTTTCATTTTCTCTGAACATCTAGGGAAAGGCTGGTTGCATGTTAAGACTTAAGGGAACGGTTATATAATAACATGTCTCTTTGATTTTTTTTTTATTTTTTCCTTTTGTACCCCTTTGGATCAGCCATTTTGTATAAAAATATTGGTATTTTATTGAAAATAAAATTCTAAATCAAAGTTTTATTGAAAATAAACTCTAAAATAATTTTTTTATCATACTAAATCTATTCAAATTTTATTGAAAATAAAACTCTAAAATAACTTTTTTATCCTATTCTACAAAAAATATATTCAAATAAATCCTACGTGTCATATTAATAATTAATTGTAGCCTACGTAGCGCGACACTTGGCGAAAAGTTGGAATGCCAAGTATTGATATCTCGTGGTCTGGCTAAAAGTTTAGCTTTATATATATGTTACTAGTTTTGTGCCCGGACGTTGTCCAGATGGTTGATAAAATTTTAAAATAACATTTTTACTTGAATGTTAAATACGGTCAACTAATTCGTTCTGATAATGTAGGATATTTAGACATACGATATCATATGGCTTATATTTATATACTGGTGTACTTTTTGTAGTTTTGTGTGTAAATAGATATATATGTTATTATTGACTTGAAAGTATTTTTATTGAACTTAAAATATTTTCACTGAAATGAAAGTATTTTTACCAAACTAAACTTTTTTTTTTTTTTTACTGATTCTCTAATTTTTTTAAAATAAATTAACTAACACCTCAATAAAAATTGACAGAGTAACCTCTGTAATACTAATTGAACAAACTCTAACACTGACTAAGTATCCTCTATCTAGCTATAACACTGATTGAGTAACCACTATAACACTGACCAAGTAACCCCTATAGCAATGACGAAATAACTCTTGTAATAGATGGTGACACGGTCTAGTCAGCTACATATAAAAGTTTGTGATTAAATATATTATAAATGGATCTTATTTTAAAACACTTTTTAAAACGAATTTGATGATGGAAATAGTTTTGTGCCCGGGCGATGCCCAGATGGTTGATAATATTTTTAATCGAATGTTAAATACGGTCAAATAATTCGTTCTGATAATGTAGGATATTTAGACATACGATATTATATGGCTTATATTTATATAATAGTGTACTTTTATAGTTTTGTTTGTAAATAGATATATACGAAATATATGTTATTATTGACTTGAAATTATTTTTATTGAACTTAAATTATTTTCACTAAACTGAAATTATTTTTATCAAACTAAAATTATTTTAACTAATTAAAACTTATTTTACTAATTATCCTTTTTTTTAATATCTTAAATAACACTGCATTTTGTATGCGGCTAGCCACACCATCTGGCCGGACAAAGATACCCCTATAAAACTGACCGAGTATCCTCTAGCACTGACTAAGTAACCTCTAACATTGACTAAGTAACCCTTATATATAACACTGATTGAGTAACCACTATAACACCGACCAAGTAACCCCTTTAGCACTAACGAAGTAAATCTTGTAGTAGTTGGAGCTACGTATAAAAGTTTGTAATTAAATATATTATAAATGGATTTTATTTTAAAGAACTTTTTAACGAATTTGATGATGGAAATAGATTTGAGTTATATGATATTTATTAAAAGTTATGATTAATTTTGTATATATGAAATATTAGAATTCTATCGATCTATACAACAATTTTATTCTAAAAGACCTATCCAAAAATCGCTTAATTAGCATCATATGTGTCATGATAATACATATTTATCTCATACGTGGCGCGATACTTGGCAAAAAACTGGAATGCCAAGTGTCGCTGTCTCGTAGCCTGGCTGCGAGGCCGGCTTTATTTATTAGTGACTAGTTTTGTGCCCGGGCGATACCCAGATGGTTGATAAAAGTGTAGGATACACTTTTTGGATTGAATGTTAAATACGGTCATATAATCCCTTTTAATAATGCAGGATATTTAGACATACTGAAGTGAAAATATATTTTATTGAATTGAGATTATTTTTACTGAACTGAAATTATTTTTATTCAAAATAAAATTATTTTTCTAGATTAAAACTTATTTTCATTAATTCTCTATTATTTTTGTAAATAAATTAACTACATTATAAATGGATCTTATTTTAAAGAACTTTTTAAAACGAATTTTGTGATGGAATAAATACCGAGTTATAAGATATTTCTTAAAATTTATGATTAATTTTGTATATATGAAATATTAGAAGTATAGCGATAATAAAACACTATAAAACATTTTTATCTTTAAAAGTCTATCCAATCTTCGCTTACTTAGCATCATATGTGTCACAATAATACCTATTTGTCGCCAACGTGGCGCGACGCTTGGCAAAAAAACTGGATTGTCAAGTGTCGCTGTCTCGTGGCCTGGCTGCGAGATCGACTTTATTTATTAATGATATGATATGATATAGATTTAAGATAATTAAAAAATAATCTCGTGACCTGGCTAAAAGTTTAGCTTTATATATTAGTCATATGATATGATAATTATAAATTATAATAATTGAAAATTAACAATCGATTCATTGAGATGATTTCTACAAGTACCCACAAAATTATATTTTTTTTTGCCTATGTATAAATTACAAACATTAATCAAAGTAAGTTAAATAAATAATGCAATTGGAGCAAGTAATAAAATATGAAGGAAATTTTTCAGCCCTAATTTACATGAGAGTTAAATTAATTATTGGGCTTTGGTGGAAAAAAAAATTACGTTTTGCGTATCAAATTCACCTCAAGCCCATAAGGCATAAGCCCAATGGGCCCAACATTAAACCGCCACAACGCTCTCCCCTAGTCCCCTCCCTTCCCTCGTCTATAAATATACAAAGGGGTGTAAGTTTTCCCTCATTTTTAAGCCTTAATAAAAAAAACTTAAAAAACTAAATCACACTCATATTACTCATGAAGCCTTCTCAACCCTACTACTACCTTAAAAACAACCACCACTACCACCATTACTATCCTCCTCCATCCTCGCGACATCCACCGCTACTATCCACACCGTCACACTACCACCATCTACCGCCTTTTCGCCCTCACAAGCCCTGGGCATTACCTCAAAAATCACACAATATTTACCACCGCCAATTACCCTCCCAAAATCCAACTTACCAAAATGCCTTAATTTCTACCCCGCCTAATGATCATCACCCTACAATATCACTACCACCACCAGCTGAACTCCGAGTTTACTCTCCTTCGTCTCCATTTTACTCTTCGGTATCTCCCAATTACTGTGGTACTTACTATTATCCACATTGTACTAATTCTTCACCTGATCATAATGCCGCGTATTCACCGTGGTCTCCTAAGTACTCCTTACCATCCCCTGTCTTCGTACCACCACCGGCGCCTTCTCCCATTCACGCTGAGGAGCCGTCTCAGCCTCGTTGTGATTTGCCATCGTGCTCGCCTCCTCCTTCTCCTGTCTACTCTCCTTCGTGCTCCTCTTCTGTGGACGATCACTCGTTGGCATACTCCCCTTCTTACGTACCCTACACCCCTTAATGTATTTGATATTTAACGCCATTTTGTGTGATGGTAGGCTAATTAATAATAGCTTAAACTCTAGGCGAATTTTGTCATTTTAATTGTATTGTAGACCCTTGTTAACAAATTTGTTCAAATATAAGGCCATTTATAAATTGGTATTGTATGATTATATTGTGTAAACATCAAATCCATTATTGATGATTCAAGAAATAATTAAATTGTTTTAAAGGTAATTTGTCTAATGTTTTGAAGCTTGTTCAAAAGTCGTTGCTTTGAGC